CTCCCCCCCTTCCCCCTCCTCCCTCCTCCTTTCTTTTCTTTTTTTGTACCAGGAATTGAACTCAGGGCCTCCTGCTTGTCAGGCACACGCTGTGCGGCCGAGCTACGTCCCAGCCCTTTTGGGTACATTTTTAGATGCACACAGTGATCCCATCCATCACAGGGAATCCGTACCTCCGCGTAGCAGATCTTGATTCGTTTTCCCACCCCTTCCCCCTCCTCCCTCCTCCTTTCTTTTCTTTTTTTGTACCAGGAATTGAACTCAGGGCCTCCTGCTTGTCAGGCACACGCTGTGCGGCCGAGCTACGTCCCAGCCCTTTTGGGTACATTTTTAGATGCACACAGTGATCCCATCCATCACAGGGAATCCGTACCTCCGCGTAGCAGATCTTGATTCGTTTTCCCATCCCCCCTCCGTATTTACAGAAGCTGTGTTTGCACTTTTTTCTTCTCCTCTCTTTTTCCTTCTCTCTTCCTTCCCTTGCTCTTCCCCCCTTCCCTTGTTTTCCTTCCCATTTAAATATTTTCTTCCTATTTCCCAATATCCATTTTGTTCCTTATTTACTCATTCGGTTTCTCCCACAAGAGAAACAGTGGGATATTTACACACATATCTGATTCATTTCACTTTAAAGTAGAACCTCAGAGTGCCTCCATTTACCCTTCTTTATGGCAGAGTAGTCCTCCATTATATATAAAAACCACATCTGTAGGATGTGCATGTATTTTGACATTCTCTTTTATACTTCAGTAGTTCCATAGACAAAAACATTTTACATCTCATGGTGGTAAAACCGTGCCTATTTTTAATGCATGCTGAAAGTTGTTGCAGTCTCATTTACATTTAAACTAAGTCCTAAAGGCTGCTGGAAATATTTTCATGATGGGCTTACTGAGGCAACAGGGTTTTAGACGTTCACGTGCATTTTAAAGTGAAACCAGCGGACAGCTAAAATTTGCAGAGGTGGATTTAAACAGGACGGAGAAGGACCCTGCGATCAGATTTTGATCCTGGGATCGCTGAAAGGAGTGCCGCCGGCGGCCCTCAGACCCGAGGCGCCCGTGTCGGAGAGTGAAACGGCCTTTCCGGCTCTCCCGATAGTCGCCGGCTCCTGTGTGGTTCCCACGTGGGCCCGGGCGAGCCTGGTGCTGGCCGACAGCTGAGTGACCGAGACTCCGGGGCCAGCTCACCGCTCCCCTGCTCCTCGGCCAGCAGCGTCCGCGTTCACTTCCGAGGCCCAGAGCCGGAGCCCCAGGGTGTGTTTTGTTGGGTTTGCTTCCAGCGCACATCTGGACTTGCAACAAATTCCGGTGTGGGGAGAAGAGGGTGTCCGGAAGCCTCTGCTCCTGCTCAGACGACTGCAAGGACCACGAGGACTGCTGCGTCAACTACAGCTCTGTGTGCCAAGGTGGGCTTCCTCCCTGCCCCGTGCCGGAACCCAGGGGCCCCGGGCTCTGCCCGGCAGTGATGGCTCCTGGCCGCCTATGTTACCTAAATACTATTAAAGACTATTTCAGAGCCAGGCCGGCGGCGCACGCCTATAATCCCAGTACTTGGGAGGCTGAAGCAGGAGAATCACTGTGAGTTTGAGGCCAGCCTGGGCTGCATGGTGAGTGCAAGGCCAGCTGGAACTACATAGTGAGACACTGTCTCCAAAGATCTAAAAGCAAACAAACAAACAAAATGCAAGCGTGTGCTTGAGTAGAGAGAGTGGCCAGTGAACCGGTGTCCATCGCCAAGCCTAGTAATAAGTATTATTACCTGTTCACACCCGGCCGAGCTTGTTTACCTGTAGCCAGATGCTCCTGCGCCTGGCAATCCCAGCCATTTTGTGAGAAGACCACTTTTCCAGTCCTGGCTGACGTTTATGTTCCAGATTTAACTTCTGGTAAGTGAGGGTGGCGTTGGCCGTGCTTGACAGTGTCCACATGAAGTGACTTTGAAGGACGATTTTATAAGCTGGTATTATTTCAAGGTCACCATCAGGAGTGCAGGGCGCCTCCAAACAGTTTGACAGAACCAGAATGTGTGCGAGAGAACTGAGACTTCTCAACACCAAAGATTATGTAGGAGGGGTAGAAGGACAGTTAAAAATTCTGGTTGAAAATATTCAGATTTTTGAAAATGAGAAAGATATTCAAATCATCACACACAATACTGTTAGCACTCTGTATCTGACACCAAAGTCCAAGGATACACAAGTCTCATATATAAATCTTTGTAGGGCCATGCCTGGTAGTGCGCACTTGTAATCCTCCCACTCGGGAGGCTGAGGCAGGAGGATTACCCTGAGTTCAAGGCCAGCCTGGGCTACATAGTGAGATACTGTCTGGAACAACAACAAATTGCAATTTTTAATATAACCTGCACCCACCCCTCCTGTATACGTCAAATGATCCCTGATTGCTTATAATACCCATGCAGTAAAATACCGTGCAAATAGTTGTTACAGTGTTTTGTTTAGGAAATGAAGAAAACAATGCATGTATTCTGTACAGATGCTTTAAAAAAGAGTTTGACCTGCTGCTGTTTGAATTCACAGAATACACTGATATGGAGAGCTGACTGTACTGTTTTAGTCTCGCACATATACATTCATTGTTTTTCTTCCTGATATCATGATTTTGCAGAGATACAAGTAACTCATTTTAGGCACTGCATTTCTCTAGTGCTGTGCCCCAGGTGGCCCATGTGTCTCTTAACATACTGTGCTTTTGGAATCTCTCTTACTGTGTCTTACACGTATCACAGTTATTAGTTGTGTGTTCACCTTGTTTTATTTCTTGAAAATATTTTAGATGAGCAAAGCTGGTTAGAAGAAACGTGTGAGAGCATTAACACACCCCAGTGTCCAGAAGGGTAAGATTGTATTCTTGAGATGTATTGTTTTTCTCTTCTAGGACCTTTCTCTTTTCTCTTTTCAAAGTATAGTAGGTAGATAAATGATAACCCACCACTGGCTCATTAGACCTGATTTTTAGGCAGGTCTTGTGTTTGGTGTTGGTGGTACAGAGTTGATCGGGGTGTGATTTCTTGATAGAGGAAAAAGAAGCAACACGAATGTTTAGTTTTACTGTTCATGATTGCTGGGTGGAATCGTGTGTCTTCCATCTTTGGGAAGAACAGATCTTTTTTCATAACAGCATGGTGCTTTAAAAAAATTATTAGTACATAATGAGTACATTCGTTGTGAGGAGTGGGTACGTGTGATGCGTCTCAATTCTTTATCGTTCCCTTTTCTTTTCATCCCTTGTGCTCATCCTGCCCTTTTGCAAAAGACGTATCTCCTTTTTTATTCTTATCTGTCTGTCATTTTGCTCTTTCTTTATATTTTCAGTCTCTTATTAGAGAAGTCATGTGGCATTTAAGCTTGTGCGTCTGATTTACTTCACGTACAGTATGGTTTCGAGGAGCATCTATTTTCCTACAAATGGCTTAAGTTTGTCCTTCTTTGTGGCGGAGTAGTGCTCCACCATGTAGAAATACCACGTTGTCTTTATCCACTCATCTGTTGATGGGCATATAGGTCACTTCCAAGATATAGCTGTTACGAATTGTGCTGCTAGAGAGCTGGGTGTGCATTATCGCTCTAAGGTGATTTCTAACCCTTTGGGCACAATGCTTAGAAGAGGAATAGCTGGGTCAAATGGAATTTGTGGCGTTAGTTTTTTGAGGAATTTCCATATTTATCTCCATAGTGATTGTACTAGTTTACATTCTCGCTAACAATGTAGAAGAAGAGTTCCTTTGTCCTTGTCACTTCACAGCATTTATTATTATTTTTTTCTTGGTGATGACCATTCTTTCTAGTGTAAGATGGAACCTCAGCGTTGTTTTAATTTGCATTTGTCTAATAGCTAGGGATACTGAACCTTTTTTCATGTATTTATTGGTCATTTATACTTCCTCTTCTGAAAAGTGTCTGCATTTCTTTTATCCATTTTTTGATTCAGGCTTTTTTTTTAGTTCTTTATGTATTCTAGATATTAATCTTCTGCTTGAAAAGTTGCTGGAGGGCCGGGGATTTAGCTCAGCGGTTCAGGGGCCTGCCTTGCAAGTGCAAGGACCCGAGTTCAATCCCCAGTGCCAAAAAAAAAAGAAAAGAAAAGTAGCTGGAAATTTTTTTCTCCTATTCTGTTATTCTGTTCTTTCCTTCACTGTGCAGAAGCTTTTTAAGTTGATACCATCTTTCTGTTGATTCTTTTTTTTTTTTTTTTGGTTTTTTGAGACAGGGTCTCACTATGTAATTGAGACTGACCTGGAACTCACTATGTAGCCCAGGCTGGTCTCAAACTCACAGCGATCCTCTCCTGCCTCAGCCTCCTGAATGCTGGGATTACAGGCGTGCACCACCATGCCCAGCTTTCTATTGTTTCTTAATGTTATTTCTTATACAACTGGGGTTCGGTTCAGGAAGTCCTTGCTTATGCCAATGTCTTCAAGATTTTACCTATTTTATCCTCTAGCAGATTAAGTCTTTCTGTTTTAATATTTAGGTCTTTGATCCATTTTTTTGTTTGTTTGGTTGGTTGGATTGTTTTTTGGTATAGGGGATCGAACTCAGTACCTTGCAGTTGCAAGGCAGGCACGGTGCCACTGAGCTAAATCCCTGGCTAGATCCATTTTGCTTTTAGTTGAGTACATGATATGAGAGACATGGGTCTAAATTCAATCTTCTGCCTTAGTTTCTCAACATCATTTCTCAAGGAGGCTATCTTTAGGAAGGGGAGATCTTTACTTTCATTTGGAGTTCTTTTTGTTTTGATGATTGGCTTTTTTTTTTTTTTTTTTTTTTTTTTTTTTTGTAGACATAGTCTTGCTGTATAGTTCAGGATCTGGCCTTGAACTCACTGTGTAGCCCAGGCTGGCCTTAAATTCCCAGCGATCCTCCTGCCTCAGCCTCCCAAGTGCTGGAATTAGAGGTGTGTGCTGCCACACCTGGTCCCACTGTGTTGTTTTCTGCTGAGTGCATAGATCTGGTTTTGCACACTTGTGGACCCATGGGAAGACAGGCAGCTGATTCTGCAGTGTCCCAAGGGCACGTGTGACAGACAGGGGACCTTGTATGTGAGCATTCTCTCTTTCTGGGGACAGTGTTTAGTCTGAGGGTGGGGCAGGAAGAGGAAGTAGGGTTGAAAAAGACGGTCAAGTGCTTGCTCTCAACTTTTCAATTACTGAGAAAACTTTCTGTGGAAGTCTTCAGAGTTATCTGGCTGTAATTCCCTTGCCTCTCCCGTGTCCCTGGGAGCAGCCCCAACTCTGAACCGTGGCTCTTTGGGGGCTCTCATGATACAGTTACTCATCCCTGCTCTCTTCTGCTGAGCACATAATCAGAGGTGCTTTCTGCCTCCCTCTAACTGTTGGGGTTTGTGAGTGTTTGCACATCACCTTCATCTTTGATCATTCCTACCTTTGAATCACTTTTTGTTTAAATATATGAATTCAATAAATAGATATTTATATCTTTTCAGCATATTAAACACAGAAACCACATACAGCATATAATTTATGCTGTGTGAAGTACTGTGTATTAGATTCAAATAAAGACAGTATCTATCAGAAAGTGGTTGCTTAGGAAAACCAAATGAATAGAAACAAAAACATAATTTAGGCAGTGTTGCTTATTGCTGAAAATTATAGAAGTCCTACTGTAATTCAGTAGCATTCGGGGTAGCTTTTGGAATGACAGGAATCATGAATGATGTACTCTGTGTAGTGCCTGAAAATAGTATGAATGTTTCCCATTAAATTTATTGGAACTTTTTAGGTATACGATACAGTTACATTCATCATTGGGATCCTGTACCTTTACATGACAGGTCTTGGTTCTCATTTTTTCCCCATACGCCTGCCCTCCCTTCACCCCCTCCACTCTTTATTTACAATGATTTTATTTCCATTTTTCCTTTTCTTATATTATTTTCTTTTCCCTTCTTTCCTTTCCCCTGCCCCTCCCACTTCCCTTACTGCTTTAGACCTTTTCTTCCTTTTTCACATTATCAGTTATACATTTCAATCCTTATTTAGACTTTTAGTTTTTCAAGTGGTATGAATTTTTAACAAATATCGTTTGGCGATAGTTGCATGTGTATTATGCCCGATAATGTAACTGTGAGTATAAATGTGTGTAAAATCCTTTATGGGTGTCCTTGCTAACTTGTTAGTTTATTTAAGATTACATTCCATGAAACATCTACCCTGGACACATCTTCATTATGTGCGTCTTCTGTTTGCTTCTTTGAACACGTTTCTCTTTCTCTCTGAAAGGTTTGACAGACCTCCTACGCTCTTATTTTCTTTGGATGGATTCAGGGCAGAATATTTACACACCTGGGGTGGACTTCTTCCTGTTATTAGCAAACTGAGTGAGTAACTTGAGCGCTGGCTCCCGGAGTGTCATGATTGTGGTAAGATAGACGAAGGAACCAGCGTGTTTTGGAAAAGTACTGGCAGAGCCTCAATATTCTACCAAACTTCGCCATTACACGTTGGTTGTACTTAATGATAAGGTGCTGGCCTTTAATAGTGTAATTTTCCTGAAGTTGCCCTTGACAAACTTCTAAGATAATACAGCCATTTTAGGATTTTAACCCTCAATTATTTTTACACATATTTATTCTTTCTTGGAGTTTTGCGTTCTTTTTGTGGAAAAATTCCTTATTTATCATATGAATATTCCTTTTAAAAATAGAATTTCAAAATGAAAGCTGAAATGGTACTACAAGGACAGTTTGGAAAGGTTGTTGGTTATGCTGTGTTATACTTTGGTTTCAGTCGAATCTTTTCAATTTCTGCAGAGCCTTCATTGAGAATGATTATTCTTCAAGTTATTGATAAAGTGGCACGATCACCTTTTCTTAATCTCGATGCCAAAGTTTTAAATCACGTTAATAGCCAACAATATTGTTGTCAGTTGTAGCATCATGGAAAGAAGAAAACAATTATTTAAACTGTAGCACTGTTAGTTGATTCCTCCTTGTTTAATCTGTAGACTTAGCTGCCTGCGCAGGTGCTCTGTCTATGACTTTGTTTAGGTATTTGGCCACTAATTAATATCCAAGGTCTTGCAAGCATTGAGTTACAGTGGATTCTTGACTTACGAATGAAGTTCATTCTCGAGGGCTGGTTGGAACTCAAGTTGGTCAGTTGAAGGCTCAGGCTCCTCTACACAGCCTTCAGAGTCTCTCTCCTGTACACAGACCGATCTCAGTGTCCTCAGAGAGAGCCTGGCCCAGGATTTCTCAGTTAGCCCCACACAGGAAAGGATGCTGTCATGTTCCTTCCAGAACTCTTTAAGGGAAAAATCTGTATCTGAGACTGGCATTTGGATCTAACTCAAGACTTTGCTCATACTTTAAAACTAAAATTCTGGTCTTAACCCAAGTTGTTCATATGTCGGGCTGGTCGTAACTCGAGGGTCCATTGTATTACATGTCCCTCTTGAACTTAATGTTACTGGTGAGTATGGATTAAGTAGTTAATGGGCTTACTTATGCTGTTTACTGTTTTTCTGACTAAGAGAAAAAACTCTTATCTGGGTGATTGACTTTGTGTCCTTAGAATTGCTTTATAGTTCATCTTGTGGGTTCCACCTCCTCCTGGGACAGTTATTTTATATGATTTAGACTGTGGCAGTAGCAGGCTAACTGAGGTCAGCAGTTTGCCAATGATGTTTAGTAATTCTGTTTTTTCTTTCCCCTTTAGAGAACTGTGGGACATACACTAAAAACATGAGACCCGTGTACCCAACAAAAACCTTTCCCAATCACTACACTATCGTCACAGTAAGTCTTGCATTTCAACTTTCATATACTTAGGGAAGTGAGAGGCAGTTGAAATATTTTTTGAGGAAATAATTCAATTTCAGATCGGGAAAAATGCTTCATTTTACAATATGTGACGACATCCGTATTTTATGTTTTAGGGCCTTTATCCAGAGTCTCATGGCATAATCGACAATAAGATGTTTGATCCTCAAATGAATGTTTCTTTTTCGTTTAAAACTAAAGAGAAATTCAACCCCCAGTGGTACAAAGGAGAGCCAGTGAGTTTTTGGTCTTAGTTCTAAAGTATTTTGTTTTGTTGTTTTCATCATGTGAAATAAAGCGGTTTCCTGAAGTTTTTTATGTTATTTCGCATACTGTGTCTGTGACCTTTCCAAGAGGAGGTGTGAATGCCGATACTCCCAAATGCAACTTGTCCGACTGCGTACGTGGAAAGTAGTTCATTTCAGAGTTGTTGTGCTGAACCATTTTCTTCTCAGCTTCATTCTCTCTGTCCCTCTTTTTTTGGGGTGTGGTGTGCTGGGGATTGAACCTAGGGCCTTGTGCATGTGAGCCAGGCACTATGCCACTGAAATACGACTACAAGAGAGAAGCCAATTCGTCTTTCTTGCAGTAGTGTGTAGCAGCAGTCTGGAGTAAGAGTTTTAAGAAATTAACTATTGTTTTAATTTTATATTAAAAATTAACTATTATTTTAATTGTAGATATCTATAGGGTACAGTATGATAATTTGATATATATATATATAAATCAAAGTAGTTAACATTCTTATCTCCTTAAATATTAAATTTTTTTCTATTAACAAAACAATTCTAAGGAGATGGAAACGATAATTATTCTGATTTGGTCATTACTATATATATACATATACATACATACGTACATACATATATATATTAATGCTGTGTTTCATACTGTACATATGTACACAAGGGAGTAGTTTTTCCCACACAAAACTACTTGGTTTTGCAGCGCAGTAACCCTCAACTTCCTGTGCGTGCGTTTGCTTAGAAGGTCTGGTTGGAATTTGGATGTGTTCTCCTTTTTAACTTATTTTTAAATTTCTACAATAATTGCATAGGGCCTGATTGCACAATCTTGGTGTCTCTCTTAGGAGGAAAAAGACAATTTTGTTTAATTTCTAGGCTATGAATTTAGGTTATTTTGGTTTTTTTTGGCGGGGGGCAGGGCCTTACTATGTAGTCCAGGCTGGCCACAAACTCACAGCAACCCTCCTACCTCAGTCTCCCAAGTCCTGGGATTCCAGGCGTGCCCCACTACACTTGGCTATGAGTTCAGATTTCAGCTCTAGGGCGGGGGATTTAGCTCAGTGGTTCCGCTGCCTGCCTCGCAAGTGCAAGGACCCGAGTTTGATCTCGGGTACCAAAAAACAAACAAAATCCCCTCAGATTTCAACTCTGACCTTTAAAGCATGTGACCGAGCAGTTCATGCTTTCTGAAACTCTGATTTCTCACCGTGCACTGCAGATGATTCTGTTACCTGCCTCGGAGGGTGACTGTGAGAATTTTGTGAGTTGGCAGTGTGGGACACTTACTGGAAAACTGTTCACACTGTGGCTGGCAATAGGACGTGCTTAGTAAATGATAAGTACGCTGCATAAGCAGGCATGTCAGTAAATCAAAGGCGTGTGTGTTCCTAAGTCATTCTTTATTCAAGAAATCTATTGTCTAGAGATCTCGCTCTAAAAGTGACAAAATTGACCACCGACTTATGTCCATCTTTTTAAGTTTAATTTGACCCCGTATTATTGTCTCCTTGAGTCGCATCGCCTGGTTACCGAGGCCTGATGGCTAGTGCTTGCTACTCAGCCTTGGTGGACTGAGTTGGTGTCGCCTGAGCGTGTGCTTCCTGAGTGCCGGTGTCCTCATTTTCCTTCCTCACCTTCCCCAGATCTGGCTCACAGCCAAGTACCAAGGCCTGAGGACTGGCACCTTCTTTTGGCCAGGATCAGATGTGGAAATTAATGGAAATTTTCCAGACATCTACCGAGTGTATAACAGGTAGGCGCAGACACATGCTGTCTAGGACCTGGGTGTGGATCAGCTTATTTCTCTGTCGTCGTCTCCTTTTTTCTGGGTCCTAAGCTCTAGCACTGAGTGAAACGTTAGCTGAGAAGCGAAGACTCACGGGATAAGCATGGCAAAGATTGCAGCTAGAGAGGACACCGTAAAGCTAGGTTCTAGAAGCACCGATGATATTTTGTATTCAAGTCTCTGAGGGTCACTAACAAATGGAGTGTGGTGAAGGAGGATTTCTGGGGGTGGGAGCCCTGCACATTTTAACTCAGGAAGAAAGGAGCTAGAAGGGAAAGGTGAAGAGTTACGGAGCACATGGTGGGAACAGCTCCCTGGCATCTAAGACGTCATTTAAAGAAGATACTAATGGGTCTTCTGAATTTCCTTTTCATGTAACTATGCTTTCAGTATAAGAAACTGATGGTGTAGGGACCGGGGATTTAGCTCAGCGGTTCGGTGGCCTGCCTTGCAAGCGCAAGGACCCGAGTTCAATCCCCGGTACAAAAAAAAAAAAAAGAAGGAACTGATGGTGAGGATCTCCTTGTGATTTTAAAAATTATGGCTTATGAGAAAAGACAAAAGGAATTTTTTTAAAAGAGAAGACTTCCATTGGCTCATTTGATGGCAAGACTGCCAAGCTGATTCTGTTTTATATTTTTAAAATTTCTGTTGCGAGATCAATGCGGTATATTTGGGATGAGGAGTTGCGCAAACAAAGACACATCGTGCATCCCAGCCAAGAAATGCATAGCAGTTTCGTGGGTAACCTCAGGTTGTTGTGCACCCTTTGTGGTTCCCGTGAGCCCAGTGGGACGCCTGTCCCATACTTTATCAGAGGGAGCGGAGATGGTCAGGGAGCCTGGACCTGCCAGGCGCCGAACTACTTGGAGGGTTAGAAGATTGGTGACACGCGGGGCCGGGCTGTGTGCGGCCCAGCAGAGCGCAGCTGACTGTCCTGGGGGATCGTGGCTGAGCTGAGCTGTGTAAACAACCCCACTCCCAGAGGAAGGCATAATTAATTTTGCCAAAAAACCGTTGCCTGGAGAAACGGTGTTCGGTTGTCACCCGGTGCCAGTTTCCCGCTCGTCCTCGGCGGTGAGAGAGTGAGTCCTTCTGCTCTCTGGGCCGTGGAGACTGTCCTCTGGTCAAAGGCAGGAAGCCAATTTCTAAGCCCAACCACAACGTTTATTTGTAGAAAAAGTTGAATTTTGCTCTTTTATTGGAAAAACAAATTTAGTTTTCAAATAAAACTCTTATGTGACTTCAAACACAATGGATGCCTGGGTTGCCTCAGTATTACTCCGTGCTATTTTCTTTTTCTTCTTTTTTTTTTTCCTCATTGAGTTTATTGGTACATTTTAGGTATGCAGTACAATTACATTCATCATTGGGATCTTGTACCTTTACACGACAAGTCTTGGTTCTCATTTTTTCCCCTTGTCCCTGCCCTCCCTTCACCCCCTCCTTCCCTCCCCTCCATGCTATTTTCAATGAGAAAAATATTTATATTTGAAATCCAAACAGTGATCGCAGATGTGTTTCATTTTGTTCACCCTCCATTTTAGTTCCGTACCATTTGAGAAAAGGATCTTAGCTATTCTTGACTGGCTGCAGCTTCCACAAGGGGAAAGGTATGTCGATGATTGATTTCTGTTGTAAATTTTTCTTGGTTTTGTAGAACTGATGCACGTCTTAAAAACAGACTACAATAAAACTTCGTCCTGTTATATCCGAATGAACTCTTTACTGAGCTACCGAAGCCAGATTTTTGAAGAAACCCAGACCTATAAATTATTTCCCAGCAAGTTTGAAAATGTCCCCCCCCCGTGTTGTCGAATTTTTAAGCAATATCGATTGTTGAATTATTCTTTCCACTCTGTTTTTCAATGTGTTCGTAAAATATTACATTTTGATACTGTTTGATTTAGACCACACTTTTACACTCTGTATTTAGAAGAACCAGATTCTTCAGGTCATTCCTATGGACCAGTCAGCAGTGAGGTAAGAACACGTTTGTCTACGATGATTTCTTTATGCCTAGAGACTTCTAGCCTGTCTGTACTTCAAAGGAGGTTTCTGGGCCATTCAGTAAGATGCCGTGATTTCTGGGCAGAGGGGATCATTGTGCACAATTTTACTAAGCCAAAGAGTGCATTTTAATCAACGTAAGAGTGGGGAGAATGACTTCTGCGTACATTTTCTACAGTGCCCACAAGTGAACTGGTGAATTAAATTCTGCATTTTCAATTCCAAATCCTTTCCCCCTCTGTATTCTCTTTCTTTGGCCTAAAAACAAAAAACAAACAAACAAACACACAAACCAAATGCTTCCTGAGAGTTTCGTAAGAGATTAAGAAAAGAATTGAGGCATGTTATGTACCTCTACCAACTCCCTCTGGTGAATCTAATCATTGTGCAGTGAGAATTGTTACTAAAGAGAACAAAGGCTCCAGATTTCTAAGGAGATCGTGGCTAATGCATCAAGTAGCAGAACCCTTGTCTGAACTCTCCTTAGGAAATAGGTCTCAAGATTCATGAGACCATGCTTAGGGCACAGCTGGGATGTTGAAAGGTGGGGGGTTTTCTCAAACGTAGATGCAGCTGAGTATGGTGGTGCACACCTACAATCTCAGCACTGTGGAGGCTGAGGCAGGAGGATTGCAACTTTGAGCTCAGTTTAGGCCACTTAGTGAGTTAGTGAGACCCTGTCTCAAAAAAAAAAAAAAAGATATCCTTCTTTATTGAATGATTGTTAGGGAACTACAGGAACCAGCTCAGGGATGAATGCCCATAGCAGAACATCTGGTTTGGCCTAACACCATTAGCTCCTGCCTGTGTCTGTCACTTGTCTTATCTTTTAGACAACACTTGCTCCTTTCAGTGTTCATGTGGCTGAAGCACTTTAATATTTTGGGGCACAGGAAATGTTAATGAAAATGATTTGAGCCTCTTTCCTAGTACGTCTAAGTTGACTTTACATTATTTTACCCGTGACCTAAGATATGAAAAGCAATAAAAAGAAAGGGTCTGTGAGTATTGTTGGTTGGACTAAAGGGTGAGGAGGCATCACCCAGCCCCTCCTGTCGCAGCCTTGGTCTCATTACCTTCTGCCTCCCACGGGCCAGGGCTGAGAGGCTGCAGACGAACAGTCTTCCTACCCAAGTTCACATCCGCTGCCCAGGCGGCTCAGCCTGGGTGGTTTGGAGCCTCCACGCCTCTTCCGTCACAGGCTCAGAAGGAGGCCTGGCCTGACGTGTCCATTGTGAACCCCATTTCTGAGGAAGCTGCTGGTCTAAATAGATGCTTCCTTCAGCAGCTAGATGAAGGAAGAGGGGAAAAAGCACCCTAATTCTCAGCAATACTGAATGTAAAACAGTCGCCTAAATCGTCTTCCCGAGGATCCAGACCCTGGGTCTGCCCTGGACACACCCCCCTTGGGGGCTGGAACTGCTTGGGCTGTTTTTACCTCGTTCAAAGAGACAGAAGAGCCAAGGAAGTTGACCTCACCCAGGCCAGGTTCTGTGCTTTGAGTTTTTGCTGCCGGAAGCCAAGTCCAGAAGCCCCAGAAGACTCACAGCCCTGCGGGGCCCTGCTCTGACTCTGTCCCCTCCGTCTGAGCAGAAATGCTGCTTCCTGGAGGTGGGGTGAAGAAGACGCATGCCCAGCTACTTGCTTACGTCTCAGTTTGTCCTGGGAAGTGTTTTTTTTTGTTGTTGTTTTTTGTTTTTTGTCTAGCTATGTTTTTAAAAAAAATTTTAAATTTTATTTGTACATCTCTGCAGCACATAACGATTACACACGTTGTGGGGACGTAGGGCGTGGACATAACACATCTCAGTTCTTGTTTCCTCCTCTACCTTTCTCCCCCGGCGCCACCCTCCAGCTCTTGGTCCCCTTCCTTTACAGAAGATCTATCTCTCTGTGTCTTTCACTTTGCCCTTTAGCCCCTTGTTCTTTGCCTCTCTCAGAGAAGAGAAGTCATGTGACAGCTAAGCTCGTGTGTCTGATTTATTTCACATCACGGGCATTTATTTCACTTATGTCAGGATGTCTCAGTTTTCCCTACATGTAACCACTATCCTGATTTGAACAATTGACTTGGCAACTAGTATGATTTTCATTCTTGCACGCGATGATCACTGGCACTAAGACCCCTACTGGGTCACCTCAGCTGCTGGAGGTGCAAGGATCATCTTGTGATGGAGCAGGCCACATGAACTCTGTTGAACGCTAGTATTACTGGCACCTCAGAACCTACTTTACGTGGGAATTGTAATTTGATATCTTGGAATGAATAAAAGACCGTAGCAAAAGAATCTGTCTCATATTAAAGTGACATATACTGACCATGAGTGAAGATGAAACGGATTAGATTTATTACAGAAAACATGCGAAACCGCACAAGAACTTTCCTCGGGTGGCTTATCCAGGAGAGAGGAAAAGGAAAACGTTGGATGACAGTTTGCTAAACTCATCTGCTGTTCTGTGTCCTTGAGCTACTCATAGGCAAAGCAGATAGTTTGTAAGGAAATAAGTTTTTTTTTTTTCCCCAAAGAGTTGTAAGTTTAAAAGTTAAGAGCATAGAATTTATAAGAAGTATTTCATGAGTAGTTTTCTGGTGGTGCTGAGGATCCAGCCTGGGCCTTGTACATGAGAAGCGTACAAGGAGGTGCTCTACCACTGAGATACACCCCTTCTGCAGAGGAATGGTAGCAGTTTTAAAACTCAGGAAACGTCATATTTACACAGGGATGATTTAAATGATTGGAAAAATTCAAGAAGAGATTGTAAAACATAAAGTAGCAATTCAGAATACATTGGTTTCTAGCCATACACTACAGATTTGAGCTAGAATTATTCTGGCGTTAATTAGGTCTAGCTTAAGTGCTAGACCTAATCTCTTGAATCTCAAGTGGGGAAAGCTAATCAGACCAGCTAATATCATTCCCCAAATTTACAGTTAAGCAAATGCAGAATGTGGGCCCCTCCATTGTTGTGATTAGATTTATTTACTGCTTTTCATGTCTTTGATCCCGGTGGGTCTTGGTCTAATGTGAACTAGTTTATGATAATAGTTGTGTCCACTGACTTATTTTCCACGTTTTATTTTTACGAGCCCCTGTTTGCAGTATATAATGTTCACATTCCTTGTGCAGAGTTGGTGCACGCACATAACATGCCTTACGCCACTCCCCTCTGTCCTTGCTCTGTCTCTTGGTCCTTCCCACTGAGAAAGATCCATCTCCCTACTTCCTATTATCTGTCTTTTTATTTTGCTCTTCATTTATACTTTGGGCTTCTCATATAAGAGAAGATATGGGATATTTAAGCTTGAGTGTCTGATTTTACTGAGCATTACGTTCTCAAGGTGCGTCCGTTTTCCTCCAAGTGACGCAGCTTCCCCTTCTTTATGGCAGAGTAGTGCTCCGTTGAGGGTGAACACCACATTTTCTTTATCTAGTCTTCTGTGGGTGGACAGATCTGGCTGTTGTGAATCGTGCTGCTGTAAACATGGACATGCATGTGTCGCTGTAATACAGCGGCTTAAATGCTTCTGGGAAGATACCTAGAAGGGTAATAGCTGGCTGGAATAGGAGTTCTTGTTTTAGTTCTTTGAGGACTCTCCAAAATGATTTCCCCAGTGGTTGTACTGGTGTGCATTCCCAGCAGCAGTGCAGAGGGGCCCCCCCCTCCCTGCATCCTCTCCAGCACTTGTTATTATTTTATTTCTTGGTGGCGGCCATTCTTCCTGGGGTAAGATGGGATCTCGGTGTTGTTGGAGTTTGCACTTCTCTAACGGCCAGTGATGTTGAGCATTTCTTCATGTATTCCTAACATAGAGATAGCTTCCTGGAGAAATAGCCTGCTCACCCGAGGCTGCTTCCCGTCCTCAGGTCATCAAGGCCCTGCAGAGGGTGGACGGCATGGTCGGCCTGCTCATGGAAGGCCTCCGGGAGCTCAAGCTGGATAAATGCCTGAACCTCGTCCTGATTTCAGATCACGGTAGCTCTCATTTCCATCATTTACTCCTCTGAGTAACTGTGGCCGAAGTTTTCTTGGCAGATTTTTGTCTCAGGACTTCCTCTGAAGGCGTAGGTCACGCATGTGAAGCGGCGTTGTTCCTCATGGAAAGTCTTTAGGAAGAAATGACCCTAAATACAAAACTCACATGGGACCCAGAGTTCACGGAAACCTGCACAAAGCAGCTGGCTGTCTTCTGATTTGGGAAAATCCGACACCAGGATTTGAATAGTTCAAAGAATGGTTTTCCAGTGTTGAAGTTTGGTGACTCTACAGTTGTAGGTTTAATCAGAACACATGATTATGCACCTTTTCAATTTTATTTATCATAATTCTCATAACTTTAGCGGCTATGTAAATTAATTTTGGCAGTATTTTAATTTTGCATAATGCAGTGTTGCATAATGCAGTTAAGTTTGCATAACACACGGGTACGAGTTTATGTGGGACTGAAGTGGTGTGCATAATAGAAAGTTGAAAGTAGGCTGTTTATTTATTTTCTCCACTTGTGTTTTGTTGCTTGCTTCAAAAATAGTTGCAGCGCTGGGTGTGGTAGCTCACGCCTGTAATCCCAGTACTAGGAAGGTTGAGGCAGGCGGATCGCTGTGAGTTTGAGACCAGCCTGGGCTACATAGTGAGCTCCAGATCAGCCTCTACTATGTAGTGAGACCCTGTCTCACAGAACAAAAAACAAACAAAAAATTGCAGAAACCTGGTTTTTTTGGAGCAGTCCTAAAGTGGTGTAAGTGAAAGAAATGCCAGTCTGGCAATGAATCTGACACCTACATTTCCAGTTAAAATAGGAGGTGCTTTTTGGTGAACAGCTGTCCAGATCTGAGAGAAGACATTCTTCCTTATTGTTGGAATGATGTTATAATAGGTAAATGAGAAGAAATATTACACTGGTTTGAGGTGAAGGAAAAGGATTTTTTTTTTTAACGGTAGCAAAGTTTTACTAAAGGTGGGGAAAAGAAACAGGCTCTGCCGAGTGAGCTTGGGCCAAGGAAAAGTAAGAAAAGAAGTGCAGCCTCTGGCATAAGAGTTGGCCACCAGGCAGAGAGAACACAGTAGCCTTGGGAAGGCATTTTGAAAACAGGGAAATGGCAGCATAACTGAAATTCCGTATCTCACCTATCAGGAGTCCCGCTAAGGAACATCTGACAACAGCGAATGTATTCCACCCATATGCTGAATGTGTATACGTAATTAACCACATTCTCAAAGGGAAGGAAATTCTGCTTTCCATGTTAAATTCTTTATAAAAGTTACAATGTGCTTTGGAATTTCTTTCTCCTAGGCATGGAACAAGGCAGTTGTAAAAAGTATGTGTACCTGAATAAATACTTGGGGGATGTTAAAAATATTAAAGTCGTCTATGGGCCAGCTGCTCGATTGAGACCCTCCGATGACCTCAATGAATACTATTCTTGTAAGTATGTCTGCCATGACTTCACACAGCATTGTATTAAGAATGTATTTCATGGCTGGGCGTGGTGGCACATGCCTGTAATCCCAGCACTCGGGAGGCTGAGGCAGGAGGACCACTGTGAGTTCAAGACCAGCCTGGGCTACATAGTGAGTTCCAGATCAATCTCAACTACATAGTGAGGCCTTGTCTCAAAAAGCCAAAAGAAAAAAAAAAGAATGTATTTCTCCAAATCATTAGAAACTATAGGAGTTGATGTTTCATAACCTCTAGTGAAGATCTTTTGTACTTAAATGAATTTTATGGGACTAAATGTGAAGCCACAAATGTAACCACTCAGCTTTCTGGTGTTCGTCCATGGGCCGGGCACATTATTTGATACTCTGAATACAATTTGCTGTTGCACTGTGTGTTTTACTTGTAGTAGGGTCGAGGCTGTAGTCGAAAAAGTTTAAGGGAAGAATTAAACTCTGTTCAAGTTTAGACAGTTCATGGCGTGACTGTAATTCATGTGATGCTGGAGTAATCTGTCGTGAGGAGGAATCCTGGCAGAGGTGACGAAGTCAATAAACTGTGTCTGCCCTCAGAAATGACTCTACGCCATTTCAAGAAGTGACAAGAGTGTATCTTTGAGAGAGGAAAGGAGAAGAAATTTCACCTTCTCTCTCGACACAAATTGCAGGAAAAAAGTGAAAGATTTTTCTTCTTTTGCACATCAAGCCCACTTTGTAACTTTTTCCAACTTTGCTGTCAATTTTTTTTTTTTTTTTTTTTTTTTTTTTTTTTTGGTACTGAGGATTGAACTCGGGTCCTTGCGCTTGCAAGGCAGGCCACCGAACCACTGAGCTAAATCCGCGGCCCCTTGCTGTCTTATTTTTGATTAGCATCTGTGAAAACTGTCTGATATTTAGGTAAATTTTCAAAAATCATTTTGACACTATTTTTTTTTTCAGTACCAAAGATAGAGCTCAGGACCTTGTGCTTGCCAGACAGTAGCCACTGCTACATTCTCAGACCTTGACACTATTAGTTTTGAAAAAAATTGGGCTAGGTTTGAGTTTGGAATGAAATAGGTTTCAGTACATACTGTTGAATATTAATTTTAAAAAGACTTCATTGCAGGAAAATAGCTGTGTAATATACTAGCCCAAAGTACAAGTTCCACCTGAAGAATGACAAGTTTTAATTAGCATTTTTAAAAATTTAGAAATGTAGTACAGTCAGCCTTCCATATGTAATGGTTCCATATCTGTGAATTCAGCCAACCGCAGATTGGAAATATTTATGGAAATATTTGGAAAAAGTAGTATCTGTGTGTTAAGCATATGCGCATTTTTGTCTTCACTCTCTAAGTCACTGTAACAACTCTTCATATAGTATTTGCATTGTGTTAGGCATTACAGGTAATCTGAACATGCGGGGGGTTGTGTGCAGGTGATTGCCAAACCCTGTGCCATTTAATGTCAGGATCTTGAGCATCTTGTGATACTCACGGACCCAGTCCCCGAGGATGATGATTTTAAGACCTGTTAGAAAACCACACGGGCATTGCTCGTGCCAGAGGTGTTTGAATTTGTTGTGAATGACTTTAGCCACACACTTACCTTGCTTTTGCCCCTACATTTCCCAAATTCAAACAGAAGCTACAGATCAGTATATATATATATATATATACACACACACACATACATGAAACGTGCATATAATCCATACTCTTTTATCTGCACGATTTTCTCAGAAGGCAGAGCTAAAGAAAGTTTAGAAAGCTCTGCAGTTGCTACCAGTGTGGCACCCTGTGGGAGTTCGCTGAGCAGAGAGCAAATTCAGTTTTAAACCAATCTACTTTACCTTCTGTGTTTCCCTGTATCCTGCTTCTTTTGAAATTCTGGAGTTATCACTGCACATTGAAATATAGAAAAAAAAAATGTCCCACCTGAAGTCCCCTTACTTTACAACGTGAGTCCCTTGTTTGGAGACAGCCGCTGTTAAGTATGGAGCTTTCCCAGGTACTGGCTGCATGTGTATCCAACACGTGACATTGTACCAGGTCTAGTGTAAACATAAATTGGGCAGATGTGTGGCCAGGTGGGCAGGTGTTTGGGTGGGTGGATAGACTGGTACACGGATGATTGGATGGGCCTGCGGTGAGTCGGCAGATGGAGGGATGAGCAGAGGGTGGGTGGACAGGCGCTGTCACCTGCTTTCAGGTAATGACAGCACACTGTACTGTCTGCACATCACTGGGCGGTACTGAAGGGTCTGTCTTATTCCTTCAACAGCCACTATGCAGTGCTTTAAATGAGTTTGCAATCGGCTTCGGTAAATACAAGATTAGAGTTGGACATTCTACATTTTTGTGGTATTTTTATTTTTAATTGTAGCATATCATCAGCTATTAATTCTTAACCTCTATCCCCCTTTAGTTAATTATGAAGGTGTTGCCAGAAATCTCTCTGTGAGTATCTTTATTTCCCATTGTCTGGTTATTGTTACTTTTGTGTTATATGTATTTAGAGAAGGGGTTTGATGTCTTAGTAGGATTAGAATTTTCAAGTATATGGATGGGCCAGTACGTTTAGCTCTTAAAGATCTTTGGTGATATGATCCTATAATCTATGTTTGAATGTTTTCAGAATTTACTTACTAGTGCTGTAAAATGTATGTGACAGTACCAGAAATAATTGAGAAAACAAAAAGAAAATTGTACAGCTCTTCTGCTGTAGATGCATTAGCTTTTTGATATATTTTCTTCCAAGTGAGGTGTGGTGGTGCCTGCCTGTAATCCCGCCCTCTGGGAGGCTGAGGCAAGAGGATCAGAAGTACAAGCCCAGACCAGGCAAAACAGTGATTTAGTGTGACACTGTCTTGAAGTAAAACATTGTAGAAAGGGTCGGAAATATAGCTCAGTGTGAATGCCCCAGGTTCAGTCCCTAGTACTGCAAAGAAAGCAGGAAGGGGCCAGGGATTTAGCTCAGTGGTGCCGCACCTGCCTCACAAGTGTAAGGTCATGAGTTAGATCTCCGTTACCAAAAAAAGAAAAAAGAAAGGAAGGAGAAAGGAAAAGAGAAGAAAAGCAGGAAAATAAGATTATCAGTCATAACTTCAGTGTGGTCTAGTATAATCAAGTGACACAGTCTAAGAGTCCTGGGACATTTATGATATCCAATGCATATTTCAACTAGCCGGGACTATTCACCTTGTGGATTATACAACTAGCAAGAATTGTTTTTATTTTTTTCAGTACTGGGGATTAAACCTAGGACTTTTGCATGGAGCTACATGCCCAGCCCTTTATTTTATTTTATCTTGCCTTATTTTATTTGCTGAGATAGTGTCTAAATTGCTCAGGTTGGGCTTGTACTTGTGATCCTCCTGCCTCAGCCTCCCAGAGAGCAAGAACTATTATTTTTCTATCTGTGACTGATTGGGCAGGCTGATAAAATGTTTGTGAGAAAAAACTTATATGGAGTTAAGAGGGATTTCATGAGATGTTTACAGTTTAGCCAATATGAAAATAATAACATGCTTGTGTTTTGTTTTGACCTTTTGCAATTTCAGTGCCGTGAACCCAAGCAGCACTTCAAACCTTACCTGAAACATTTCTTACCCAAGCGTTTTCACTTTGCCAAAAATGACAGGATCGAGCCCCTGACCTTCTACCTGGACCCACAGTGGCAACTTGCGCTGTAAGTTCTGACCGTCTCCCGGGGAGACATAGCGTGGGTTATCCATAATTTGGCAACCAGTGGGCCTTTTCTAACAGTGTCACTATATGAAAACCCCACAGATGGGAATCTCCTCCCTCACTCCGGGATTTCTCAACCTTGGCCTATTAACTTTTCTTTTTTGTTTTGGAGTCAGTCTCACTCTGTAGTCCAGGCTGGCCTTGAATTCCCGGCAATCCTCCTGCCTCAGCCTCCTGAATGCAGGAATAATTTGTACTTTTGCAGGAGAATTAGTACTTAGTGACTATCTAAGTATCATGTGCCAGACATTTTTCCCCCTGTATCGTTGAGTGTTTATGAATGACCTGCATGAGACATTGAGAGAAGATAATTAAATTTGTGTAAAGTCACAGCTAGTTAATATCATAGCCACAGTCAGGATTCAAAAGCGCTTCATCTGGATGCCAAGGGCTGGCTACCTCTTTTCCTTCATGGACAAATCAACTTTAAGCAATGTTGCTTAAAGAAAAAACCAGAAGCTGAGCCTGGTGGTGCATACCTGTCATCCCGGCACCGGAGAGGCTGAGGCAGGAGGATCACTATGAGTTTGAGGCCAACCTGTACTACATAGTGATACCGTGTCTCAACAAAACAAAACAAAACCACTCCCCTAAGAGGAAAAACAAGGTATTTCAAGGCCAAGTTGTTTTAATTACTTTATGTTGGCTTAACAAAATCCTTCCTTGATATACATATATGAGTACTTAATCTCAGAGGATCTACTTTGAAACTCTTTCCTCCAGTTTGTAACATAATATTCGCATTGTGTTGAGATGAGAATTATGTCTCAGGAAGTAGTTTTGCTCAGATGGTATGTGGGCTGCCTGTGTTTTAAAGGACTTACCTGGGAGAGGATTAAGTAATTCGGGTAGCTACTAAATTTTCCCTATGTCTCTAAATGCCCTCTCTCTGTTCATGTAAGCATTTGTATAAATAATGTTATAATAAAGAGCAAAATAAGGGGTAAAAGGAAAACCAAAATAATTTCTTGTTTTTTAATGAATGAAAATGTAATTATAGGTTTTGTTATAAGAATAGACCACATTATTAATTCATACATATCAAAATAGGAATCCCACGGAAAGAAAATATTGCGGAAGTGGATTTCATGGCTCTGACAATGTATTTTCAAATATGCAAGTAAGTAAACTGTTTATTCTTAAAAGAATAAAATTAAACCTGAAGAAAAGCTAATATACAAAGTGGGAGACTTAAAAACACAGGTTACGATTATTTTTCTTCAACATATTTTTAGATAGCTGCTTTTCTTTGGACAGCAAAGGATTTTGCTAATATTTTACATTCATGTTTCATGGATCTGTGAGATAACATACCGTTTTACTAAATTTCTAATAATTTTTTGTGTGCTCTTAAGTGGACTCCCCCGCTACAAAAGAAAGCCTGTGATTTATTTGATGAAAAGGTATCATACTTGTGTTCTGAAAAGTGATAATATCTTACATTTTATTTTATTTATTTTTTCAGTACCGGGGATTGAACCCAGGACTTTGGCATTTAACTGTATCCCCAGCCTTTTTGTTGTTGTTTTTTGATACTGTGGATCGAACTTGGGACCTTGTGCTTAAGAGGCAGGTGGTGTAGCCATTGAGCTAAATCCCGGGCCCCCCAGCCTTTGTTTTATGGGTTTTTTTTTTTTTTTTTTGGTCACTATTTTACTATATTGTCCAGCCTGGACTTAAACTAGGAGTCTTCCTGCATCAGCCTCCCAGAATGGTGGGATCACACACATGGCTTGCCCGGCACTTAAAACATTTTTAAAAAATGGTTAAATTGTTCCCTGCAGCACTGTGTGAGGTGGGAAGGGTGAGGCTGATTCTGTATACTGTCTCATAGATGAGAGAAGAGTTCACCATCCACTCTCTCCTGATCCTCAAGTTAAGAAGTGTAGTAAAACTAAGAATTGTTCTGGGTGTCTTCAGATTGTACATGTGATGGAGGTTAAGACAAATTCCCACAAGGTCCACTAAAGCATGGTGTTTCCTACAATGCATGTGATACAAAGTTTTGCACCAACTCTACACGTAACTGACCCACACTGAAAAAGTACTTTTCTGGCCAACCCAGGCTCTCTTTATCGGCTACGGACCCGGATTCAAGCATGGTGTTGAGGTTGACACCTTCGAAAACATTGAAGTCTATAACTTGATGTGTGGTGAGTATGAGCAGGACCTGTCTTTCCTCCTTTTGCAGAGCAGGGTTGGAGTAAGACTAAGACAGACCCTAACATTTTCACTTTCCTCTTCTGACCCGGACACAACTGAAAGAGAAAGTGTGCAAAATGCTGCTTCTTATTATTCGTCTGGCTTTTCATCTAGGCTACACACTGGTAGAGTCCAGCGCTCAGTGGGGCATCTGCACAGTGCTGGATCCTGGGGTTAGATTAAATGATTCTCGGGTCAGGGTAGTGACAGAAGCCAGAGAATAGAGTTTGGAGGAAGTGACAGGTGGACAAAATGACGGCACTTCCTGTAGCAGCAACAGTTGAATGGATGTCAGTGTCAAGGCTGTAGAATCATCAGATCTGTTTTTTATTTGGTCTGTATCTTCTGAACTAGTGCTGTTACAGTGGGGCATTGGATTTTAAATATTACTTCCTTTTTCTGCTAATACTGGGCATTTGCAAAACTACTAAATATGTCTTGAGTATAATTCTTTTAATGGGAGCCAGTAACTTTAAATGAACTAACATATCCTAAAATACTGAAATCCATGGCTGATATATAGTTATTCTTTGCTAATATTATTCTTATTTTAAATTTAGAATTTTTTAATAGAGAAGTAGAGCATACATATTCAGTATTTCTTACCAGAATAGCATATTCATAGTGTAAAAGCCAAGAAAGTTTTACAGTTTTAGTTAAAAGGGCAAAACATAAATATATGTTTTTAAAGCCATACAAATTGTATTATGAGTCTATGTACTTGGTTTTGAAACTTCTAAGTAGCTCTTTCCCATCTTGGAATTATGCAGATTTACTGAACTTGACCCCTGCTCCTAATAACGGAACCCACGGAAGTCTTAACCATCTCCTAAGGCATCCTGTCTACACCCCGAAGCACCCCAAAGAAGCATACTCCCCGCTGAAATGTCCCATCACGGCGACGCCCAGAGACAACCTCGGCTGTTCCTGCGACCCCTCGGTGAGCTTCCTCTGCAGAGCGAGTGCTGTGAGATGCTTGGCCCAGGTGGACGCCTGCGAGCAGGAGGCCGACACACGGCTGCTTCTTCTGTGGGGGCCACTTTGTTTTCCTCCCTGAGCTTGTGCATCTGCTGCTGTTTGTGTCTTCTGGGGCTGTAATTAGTTGCGTAGGCTCATTGCAGTGATTCCCCGCTGCAAGAGCCCAACCCACTGTGGATTTAGGGGAAAATAGCGTTTTTGTATAAAATGGGTGTGTGACGCAGCTCTCTCTAGTCCCGTGCCCACAGGAGTTGTAAGTGGCCGTCTTCATAATTAGTGCCCGGTAAGTATCTTAACAGCTGGCACAAGAAGATTAAAATATGTGACCCGATGAACCCAGGTGATGTCAGCCACAAAGGCCACGATGCGAGGAGTTTATTTCAGCCTTCCCATTATCTTCCGGATAATGGGCTCGTAGAGAGATAGCCAGAGTAGGCACAGAAAGTATAAAGGAGGATTCGTGTTCGTGGTCTTCAGTTGCTTGCGTTATGCCCATGTGGACAGCCCTGTCTTATTACAGTTGCCATTCCTCTCCTCCTCCTCAGCAGAGAAGCCAACTGTTTACTTACACAAGGCTCTTGTGAATCTTACCTCTGTTCTGTGTTGGGTTGATTGAGCCCGGCGAATGAGGGAGTGGTGTGTTTCAGAATTTCACTGCGCCTCCCACCGCTAACCTAGTTTTATAAACTTGTTTTTAGATTTCGCCTATTGAGGATTTTCAGACGCAGTTTAATCTGACCAGGACGGAAGGTAACGCACGTGACTCCCAGCTAGAAGGTGGAAGAACTGTTTTTTTTTTCTTTGGTACCAGGGATCGAACTCAGGTCCTTGCACTTGAGAAGCAGGCCCCGGAACCACTGAGCTAAATCCCTGGCCCCATCCACAGAGAATTGATTTGGGCCCTTATTTAGGGGCAACCAGCGAACTAAAAGCAATCACAGAGGTCCGCAGGGTAAAACAGCTATTGCTCTGCCTGACAGACTAAATTGTTAGTCATAGGCAAGGAGGGCCATTTTGTAGCAGAAACCGTGTGTGACACATTTACTGAAATCTTAGCCATCTTGGGGAACATTATGGAAGTGTTTTGAAATTTTGAAAATTTTTATGTGTTTATCATGGAGCCCTAAATTTTCACTTCACATACTGGTTCAGGCCAGTCGTTTTGGTGCACACCTCTACTCCCAGCCTTAGGGAGGCTGAAGCAGGAGGTTCACTGCAAGATCAAGGCCAGCCTGAACTACACATAGTGAGACCCTGTCTCAAAAATCCAAAACATACAGACAAAACACCAGTTTGGTATTTATCTCACCAGTCTGTTAATTAATTAAAAGAAGTTATAAATCGATTTACTAACCTGGGAGCTATTTCTTTTTAACTTTTGAATGAAAATTAAGAACATATAGGTGAGTGGTGAAGTTCTTCAGTCTTGGCTGGGATGATCAGAGTCACTTTGATACAGTCTCTGATCCGTAAATTACTTCACCATTGTTCTCTTGCTGGAAGATAGCAGTCAAGTCTGCTTGAATCCTGACATGAGCCCGTCTGTGTAAAAATCCCTACTCTAAATGTCGGGATGGGAGAGATTTTTTTTTTTAATCTCCAATGTGGCAGAGTGTAGAAATGGGGTAGATCTGAACTTGATACAAGCTTAGGAACTAGCTGTTCCTGCAAGAAGTATTTTTTCCCCTGTGAGCCTCTGTTTTCTAGGTGAAATAGATGCGTAACCTTAATTTGCAGGGAGATGAAAGAAACAGATGGTGTGAAAGAACTCTACAAAGCATTTGATATTTGGAAAAAGGCAGTAAATATTTGTATTGTTTCTTTCAGTCTAGTCTCACAGTTTCAGTTCTGAGTCTTTTGCTTTCCAAGTTTCCACAAATCCTTTGTGCACATGTCCTAAAGCAAGAGTAATTAATAAAACGTTAAAGCATCATCAGTGTAAGTAAGTCCTAATTAGTTGGAATTTCTAGCAGTTCCATGTAGTTTCCCCTTGTAAACCTTGATAGCACATCTATCCTTCAGTATCTAACTAAGCATAAGTTGCCATGAATCACACTGGTTTTGCTGCTTATGGCCCTACTCTTTTTTTTTGTTTTGTTGAGACAGGGTTATTCTTGATAGGTGGCTCATAGTGGTCCTCCTGCCTCAGCCTCCTGAGTGCGTGGATCGCAGTCATGCACCACCAAGCCCAGCACCTCTTTTGATGAGTTATTATTGGTATTTATTTAACCTAAAAATGAGTTTTCAACACGATCAAGTAGAGGAAAGGGTGAGATGAGTAGATTACCATCTGTTCTTACATGATACGCACGAACTACATTTTAATGGTGGCCTCCTTTCCCCTTTGTGGCCCAAGAGAAGAACATGGACCGAGGTGCTTTACCCTACGGGAGGCCCCGTGTTGTTCAGGAGAAGAGCAGTGTGTGTCTGCTGTATCACCACCAGTTCGTGAGCGCCTACAGCCGCGACATCCTCATGCCCCTCTGGACGTCCTACACCGTGGACAGAAACGCAAGTGTTTGTTGCTTCTCTGGCTGTGCGTGGGTCTTGGGTTACCATTAGCGGGGCCTTGACAGCAGATCTGTCCCTGTTACAGTGGCCTCAGAATCAGTCCCCAGAGCGGCGGGATTCTGGACAGGAGGCAGAAAGTTAGGTCCTGGGTGTGGGTGTAGCCCCTGGCTAGCTGTGACTCTGAGATGCCACAGGGAAGACTTCTCAGAGGTGAGAAATGTGTGCCTTTTTGGTCCTCGCTTTAATATTTTAAGAAGCTTCATAATTTTTTTTTCCTGTACTGGGGATCGAACTCAGGACCTTGTGCTTGCCAGGCAGGCGCAGCACCGCTGAGCTACACCCCTGGATCCTGCACTTTATAATTTTATGCAAGGCATCTTACCTGGTGTCAGTTTTCAGATTTTTCGGAAACGCTTGAGCTATAGGACACACTGAAGGGGCTTTGAGAGAGCTTCCCTGAGGTGGTGCCTGACTCAGATCAGTACGATGACTGGTAACACTGAGGTTGGTAAGTGAAAAGCGAGGCTCTGTGTGTACACATGCAATTTCTGTGTTAAAAATATGCACACATTCACAGACTCATGTAGTTTTTTTGAGCCTAATTCAAAAAAATTTAAGACTACCTGTGAACACTCTTTTTCACATTACTTCCTGATATGTAGCATTCACCGTATTTTTAAAAAATTAATTAATTAATTTTTTCCTCATTGAGTTTACTGGTACATTTTAGGTCTACAGTACAGTTACATTCATCATTGGGATCTTGTACCTTTGCATGACAGGTCTTGGTTCTCATTTTCCCCTTGTCCCTGCCCTCCCTTTACCCCCTCTTCCCCTCCCCATTTACAAACATTCACCATATTTTGTAGGCATCCCTTTTATTTACCGTTGTTTGATACCTTAATTATGGTGGTGATTGATTCAGTCTGAGTTTTCAGTTTTCTGACATAGTTATAACTGGGCATGGTGGCACATGCCTGTAATCCCAGCACTCGGGAGGCTGAGGCAGGAGGATCGCTGTGAGTTTGAGACCAGCCTGGGCTACATAGTAAGTTCCAGGTCAGTCTCAACTACACAGTGAGACCCTGTCTCAAATAACTGGTTAAAAATAAATGCTGCATGAATTCACCAGCAGCTTTTGGCAGTGTAGTGGTGTGTGAAAGGTAGACTCAAATCCCTAAAAATCAGCATTTTACTGTGTAAAAATGCTTAAAACTATAGCTGAAAACATAAACAGCATTTGCACAGTATTGGAAGGTGTTCATGCATATATGGCAAGGAGTTTGTATCGTAGACATTGTAAAGAATCTTTGACTTTTAGTTAGAAAAAAGATGAACAGACCAGTGGGAAACTAGGAAAAAGGTTAAGAAGGTGCGCAGACAGCATGAGTCCCCGTCACCCGTTTACAAAGTGACTCCCTTCTCCCTGTGCCTAACACCGCTGCTCCCTTTCCTCCCCTCCTCAGGACGGCTTTTCTCCGGGGGACTCCTCCAACTGTGTGTTCCAGGACCTTCGGATCCCTCTCAGTCCTGTCCATAAATGTTCCTTTTATAAAAACAACGCCAAACTGAGTTATGGATTCCTCGCCCCACCGCGTAAGCCTCTTCCTCCCCTGCCTCCTCCCAATCCTACTGTTCTCTGTCCTGTTCCACGCTGCATTTCCTTCCTGTTTTCAAATCTGCCCTGTAGGGCTTAGCGTGTGTGACCCCTGGGTTCTGCACATAATACCTAAGTAAATAAATCAACGGGGAAAAAGAAGAAACAATTGGGTAAAACGCAGTGAGAGGAGGCATCAAGGTTCTTAGGAAGGAGGCAGAACTCTGTCAGCTGAAAAGAAACTGATTTTTCTCAGGTTTAGGAGGAGCTGGAGCCTCTTGGCCTGCGTGTGGCTCCAGGCAGGGACCCCAGGGCACAGCCCTCTGCCCCAGGAGCTCTGGGTTCCCAGGCCGTCGTTCGGGGCCATGGGAAGACACTTTGGAGTTGCCTTATAAGGGGCAAAGGTGCCCGAGGTGCGTCCGAGGCCAGAGTGGGCCGCTGCGTCAAGGAACAGGCCCAAGTCCCAGGCCCCTGGCAGACAGCTCTGTTCCGAGGGCTTCGTGCTCCTCAGCCGAAATTAGGCAAGTGAGGTAAAGCTTGAATGCGTTTCCCTTGAGGATGTTCTTACTGCGGTTTCCATCTCTTTGATACATTGTTTGTTTTTTTGTGGTACTGGGGATCGAACTCGGGTCCTTGCACTTGCAAGGCAGGCCACCGAACCGCTGAGCTAAATCCCCAGCCCCCGATACATTGTTTTGAAAAAGGAAAAATTAAAACAATTTAAGCGCCTCCAGCAAATGCATTACATTTGTCCTTCTTTCAGTACCTGAGAGGGTTTTACTGGTGCAAGAAAATACTCAGCTAATTTTGTTTAAGTCTCCCCACCTTACACCACAAGAAACTAATTCTGAGTGTTATCAGTGAAGAATGAAAAATTGTTCTGTGTTTTTCTTTATAGAACTAAGTAAAGATTCAAGTCAAGTATATTCTGAAGCGTTGCTTACTTCTAATATTGTGCCAATGTACCACAGTTTTCAAGGTAAAGAATTCTAACTTTATAATTTCAGTTTATTTGGGTATAATTTATATTTAAATTATTATTTGTGGACTAAACAACTAAATATCAAATACATTCTTTTTTTTTTGTTTGTTTTTTGTTTTTTTGGTATGGGGATTGAACTCTGGTCCTTGTGCTTTCAAGAAAGGTGGCGGAACCACTGAGCTACACCCACAGACCTCAAATGAGTTCTTGAAGGTTTAACTTTAGCCAGGTGTGGTGGCAGTCACCTATAATCCCAGCACTCGGGAGGCTGAGGCTGGAGGATCTCCATGAGTTTGAGGCCAGTTTGGGTTATGTAGTCAGTGCAAGGCCAGCCTGAACTACATAGTGAGACCTTGTCTCAAAAACAAACAAACAAACAAACAAAAAAACGATTTGTTTAATATGACAGTACAAAATACACACAAGAAAACTCATAAATGTTTCAGTTGTCTTCCAAGGTCTAGAATGCTTGGTATTTAACATTTTCTAAATGGGGCAGAGGACTAGGGTCAAGGTTGAGGAAGGAGGGGAGTGAGGGCGGAGAGTGATCAAAAGATGCTCCGGCCATCTGCTCTCCCACAAAGTAAATGTAACTATGAGGTATTGCAGACTTATGCTGATAAAAAATTTAAAAAATATATATATATGGGTTAGGGGTTAGGGTTAAAGTTCATCAATTTCAGCTTTTCATCTATTTCCCAATTTAACAGATTGGAAATTCCCAGTAATTGTTTTATTTTTAAAATGAATAGAGTTTATGTCACCATTAGCTATTATAGCATTTCACTGCTAGGTGCAGAAAATATACATTCACACTTAAACCAATGTGTGAATATATAATATAAATATATATATATTTATATATTATATATATTCAA